GCGAGTAGGATCAAAATCACCCACTGTTTTTCCTCCAACTTTTCAGAACTGGCCTTCCTCCCAGGAGACTCTGACATCTCAGAGGGGTTATATACTTAGCTCCCCACCTTCTTTTGATATCCCCTAACAGGCCCTAGTTACCCCCCTAACTAGACGCCTCTACTGCACATACCAGGACGATCACTGCCACGAGGTCTGTGCAATCTCTTACAGGGACAGATACGCTACAAGAGGCGTCCCTTTCCCAAAAGCTACCTTGGAGAGTTCATTCAGGAGGCGTCTCAGAGACACTCATTTTCTCATCTGAGCCAAGAAGCGAAATTGGTGACGACGGGGAAGAGGCTTTTCAGAAGAGAAACCTCAGAGAGCTTACGGTGACCGGGGCAATAATGCATGCAGAGCATGGGAGACGAGATCAGACAGGCAGGCAGAGGCCAGATACCCAAAGGGCCTCGTATTCCAAGCAAATCAGCCGCGGTTCCTCAAGTCTGGTGAGCCCTTACCGTGCTTCAGGGCCCAGCTTAAGGTCAACCCTCCTGAGCGTGTCCTTGCCCTCCGCCCACCCCCACACACCAGCTCCCGTGCCCTCTCCCATCAGGGCCCTTATCACAACTGCGGTTATAGTTACTCAGGTGATTATGTGAGTAACAATCTGTGTCTCCACTCAGCTAAATGAGAACTTCAGTCCGCGTTAAGGCCCACGTCCATTTTATTCCGGTCTGTATTCCAGGGCCTGCCCAGTAGGGCGTCTACCCAAAAGAGAGAGATTCATACTATTAAGCGAACAAACGAAAGCTGGCACTAAGAGGCCAAAGAAGAATCGTGTGCAGGGGAATGACAATCAGAGATGACAGTTACACACACCCCTCTGGCAGCAAAGTGACGACCAGACTGGCAGGGCAAGGCTACAGCTGGGGGGACTACTGAAAACGTCTCCAGGTAGATGATCGCTTACTGATCGCTTACTGACCTAAACATGAAGGCCGCCAATGTGCGGGCAGTGATGACGAGGATGTAATGGAGGAGACCCACTCAGGAAGCAGAAGCCAAGAGCTCAATGCGTGGGGTGAGGGGAAGCAAAAAGGGAAATCCGGAACGGTTCTGGTGGAGAGGGGTAGCAAAAGTGGTGCCATTCACTCAGACGGGAAACGCGCAGGACGGGAACAAACATTTCCTGAGCGTGTACTACATGCTGGCAGCAAGTGAAGGCTTGCCTTCAGCTCCAAAATTCTATGACTGAAAAACAATTTAAATTTAGCCCAGCTGTATTACAATGGCTGGTAACAGGATGATAAAAACCCACAAACTAAAGTTTGGAGTTTTGAAGTTTTTTCACCAAGACACCACTTGGGTACACGGACTATGCATGAGGCATTACTTCGGTCCGGGTATGCTGAAATCAAAGAAGTGGTCTCTGCCTTCCAGAAGCTGAGTCTTCTCAGTTTGAGAAAAATAACTGCATGTCGACAAGGAGACCCTGAGGCCCAGGGAGCCTATGATCTGACCATTTCTATGACCTGTAACCCACGCTTCTGGAGCACAGACTTGATAACCTACATGACATTTCCAGGCCAATACACAGCCGAGGGGGTATTTAGATAGACCCAAACCTGTTTTGAGCCTAGAGACGCTGCAGAACCTAAAACTCGCAGCACAGGGTCTGTGACGGACTCTGAAGTAACTGCCATGGTACAGCCACATGGCAGCACTTTGGAGGGTGCAAGCAGGAGAGAGAAAGCAGCCTGGTTTGTCACAGGAAGAGCCTACCTGAGCAGAGGCCAAGCGCTGGAGGTGCCAAAGCAGGATCTCAGGAGGTTCTGGAAGCAGCAGAGAAATAAATGTTCACGGAAGGTACGGCAGGAACCCTCTTTTAGACAGGCTCCTCCCCTACCACCGGCAAGAAATGGTTTCCCACGGGACAGGAGGCCTCAGCCCAGGGCAGATGTGCAGAAAAACAGATGAGGAAACAATCCAGTGTGAATAACGAAGCTCCAGATCAGCCAGAGCAGACAACACACTTCCAGTGCCTTGCGAGGCTATTAAGCCGGGGAGATTTTACACCAGCTGTTTCTAAACAAAAACAAAAGACCAAAACCCTTCCCTCTCCAGGCCCAAAGCTCCTGGCCCACGCTTCTCCCTTCCTCTTCACATTCTTTAAAACCAGAACTGTCTTTACCTCCACTCCCTTTCACCCACTCGGATCTCAGTGCTTCCTCCACCACTCCACCTTATCTTTTCATCCTCCCTGAACCTTCTGAGCACCTTCCCCTTTTCTCTGCCTGGGATCTCTACCTGTCCCTCAGGACCAGTTCAACGTGGCCTCCTCCGTGAAGCATTCCCAAGTCAGACTGTTCCTTGCTCCCACCTTTGTGCTTCTACAGAGCTGTGCCTAAGCCTCGGCACAGCAGTCGTTGGATCCTATTGTTAGCGTTTACTTCAGAGGCCCGGACAGCCTGGAAGCTCCCAAAGGCAGGAACCGGTTTTTACTCAATTTTATATTGCTGCCCAGAACCCAGGGCTGCGAAAATAAGCATGCAAAGGTGCCGTGAATATAGCATAGGTTAAGCTTACCTTCAAAACTTCCAGAATCTACTCAAGTAACTTTTCCACCTAAGTTGCTCTAAGAATTTACCTGCACACACATACATAATACCTAAATTATGAAGAACAGTTTTATTAGAAAAGCATCTTGGTTAAAAACTCTGTCTTCTCCTAGTTAAGCAAACAGCGTGCATGCAGTTAAAACAGGGCAAGTTCCTCATCTATGTTTTTAATTCCTAAAATTCTGATCATGCGGAAAGTTCACTTGTGTCCTTTTCTTCCTGGGCAGCTACTGAGCTCTTAGGCCCAGACAAGCTGCTACAGGGAAGACACCAGGCCTTATTTATATCAATTCCTACAGCCATGGCTGTTTAATTATCTCCAAAAACAAGTAACTTCTTTCCCATTTAGTTTCACTTTCTGTATGACAGAAACAAACACCCACAGTAAGGGTTAGATAAAGACTATTTCCGGTGACCAGTAAAAGTATCATGAAAGCCGCTCAACTTGACTAAGGACATACAAAAACCTTCCTTTTAGGACTATGGGATTAAATCTGAATATAAAGTCCAATTTATATTTCTGTTCCAGAAAAATAAAAATTAGGATAACTTCTGAGTTCTTGTAGGTTTTAAACTAATGGATCTTACTGCAACAATACTGAAGTTTACTCTTAATAGTGAAAAATTAATAGGGTGAGAATAATTTCTGTGCCTAAATATAAAAACTGCGCAGATTTTAAAAAGACAAAGGTGACACTCAAAGTTCCCTGCCTAGAAAACCTTGAAGATGTAAGAAAAGTTAGCACCATGCACTTAATTTTTCAGTTACTACACTGCTTCAATATGTGACCTTGGGAATGTCATGTAATTTCATTTCTAGTTCTGTAAAATGGGAATGTCATCTATTTTCCAAATAGGGACAATACAAAAGTCAGATAAAAGAATCAATACGCATTTTTCTTTTTCTTTTCTTTTTTTTTTTTTTACAGAAACTTGTCTAATTAGTATGCTTAAATCACCACTTGTACAGTGCATTCCTCCTCAGGAATCCAATTCCAAGAGAAATATTTAAGCAGACGTTGAAGACAGATTTCCTTAAGGGAATGGTTTTATAAATCTGGAAAGCAATGTAATAAGATCATAAATTAATAAGTTGATTACATAAACCTTGACAGCTCCTGGCTTTAAAGCACACTAATACACATTCTGATAAATTAGACTGATTTGAGACACAGTGTCCCAACCCAGTACAAGGAACCCGAACTGAAGCATCTGATGTTTGAAAGAAATGTAGTGAAAATTCAGCTGAAGTGTCTGATGTTTGAAAGAAATGTAGTGAAAATTCAGCAGGATACTCAACATCTGCAGTTCCATCACTGGTAAGCCATGCTTCACCTTAAAACCTGGTAAGATGGGAAACGCATTAAATCAGCTTTACCACCCGCTCCTAAGACTGAGAACGCACTCAATTTTATAAAAGAGAAAAAAAGTAACCTGACAATTTGAAAGGTCCTATATCCTCAAACCTCTATAAAGAACCCTACTGCTAAATTCTCCCCAAATACTGAGCGTGAAACCGATCTCGCCAAGAAGCTATCTGATTGTACCTGGTCCAACTGTCAGGAACAGCACAGCTCCAAGAACCCCCCACTGCCCTCCCCCCAACCCCAACCAGGAAAACAGACTGTCACTTTCCTAGATCCCAAGTCCAACTTAAAGGCAGGAAGGTTTTTGCAAAATGGTCCAGAAAGAATTCAACAGGCGATGACTATGGTAAAGAACGGATTGCTCTCCCGATCCGAAAAAAAAAAAAAAAAAAAAAATTCTCGCTCTCCCCTGGGAAGGGCACTGCTCCTCCTTCCTTACCCCGATGCCCTTTCTCTACAGACAACAATATCCCCATTCTATTGTAAGCCTGCAGTTTTA